AAACACTGTAACTTTTACAAGTTCATTACGTGTACATTAAAAACTACATGTGTTAGAAAGGCATGAATTTAGAATTTTTTAGATCTCTTTTGTAAAAGTCCTAAAATTGACCATATTACATTTTTCATCAAAAAAGTTATATTTTAATTTAAAAAGTTGCTTTTTTAAATATTCAAGTTCACTCTCAGCCATTTTGAAATATATAGCATGTTACTATTGATCATAAACAAAATTAGCTGTAATTAATATTTTTAATGTCACATGTACAATAACTTTCACATTTAAATTAATGTCTGTTCAAAGGGAATGGTTAAAAAAAAAGGTAATATCTCTTTTTCTGAAAGAGAATGTATTTTTTTTTTTTTTTTTTTTGGTCAGTTGTGGGGCCTAGGCACTGTCCCTCAGCTCTTCAGCTCAAGGCTAGCATTCTACCACAGCGCCACTTCCAAGAATGTATTTTTGAGTTAAGAATATTCTCAGATTCACACACACACACACATATCAAATGTTGATTTCCAGCATTTTAAGCTACAAAAGTGAGTAAACCTTACAAAAAAATGCAATCATATGCTTTCAGCCTAGTTACTTGCATAAATGTTGACCCACATCAAGAAGGAAGATGAGTTAATGCCACAGCACTATGAAGAAGTTAAATTTAGAGAGAACACCATGTCAGACATAAAAGTCCAAAGCCATCATATGTCAGCCAACATCAAATCACTGTTTCCAAACTTGTTGAAAATGACAAGGGTTTCGTCATTTTCCACTCATTCTATTACCTGAACTGGTTACCTGCACATACACTGCTCAACCAACAAGTTCAAAACTTGAAGTACCAGTAATAAGAGAGGAATGATTCAGCTTAAGTTCATAAAAGAAATAAAGGAAACAATACCTAATGATACCTTTAACCACCAATACCTTTAACACATCACATTACTTCTTGTCTATGCAATGCCATACCAAATAAAGTTCCTTGACTTATCTTTTTGTTTAACACAGCCATAACTATGTTTACTAGACATCGACCCAAATAGAAAACACAGTAAATCATTCCATTTTTCCCCCAAAAAAGGACAATCTATCTTTAGTATTAGAAGAATAATATGAAATTTAATAACAATTATATATTCTGGTACATTGAGAAACCTGATGAATAATGATGTCAGAAAGGGAAAAGATAAAATTTCCAATGTGGCCAATTAAAACTGGTATTTAATGCTTAATAGCCTGTATATAGTCTTGAGCTTAAGAACCCAATGACTTGGATAGAAGCACTTAAGATATGAATCCAACTTGGTATTTATTAGAAAATCACCAAAGTTTCAAGTCCTAATGGGGCTTGCTAAAATACTACTTGCCCCTGAATCAGAGTTGAATCTGGAGTTGAATCAGAAAAAAATTAACTAGAGTTTGACTGAAAAGTCTAATGACTTGGCCCAAGAAATTCAAATTTCAGGACAGAAGTTAGCTATTTCATTAGTTATTCTAAACTTCTGAAAGTTAAGTATGCTATTAATTCATTGGGAAAACTAGAAATAGTTAACTTTACAACTAAATTAACACCAATTTCTATAAAAGAAATAAAATTTGAGGTTAACAAAAATAATGAACTCTGGAGAACATTATTCAAAATAGCAAGGATGCTTTCCTTATGGGTCAGGCTTTCATGTAATTTACTTGTATTGTCAAATCCTATAGAATGGCAGGGTGCCAATGGCCATTAGCTACTCAGGAGGTTGAGATCTGAGGACCATGGTTCAAAGCCAGCCCTGGCAAGAAAGTCCATGAGACTCTTATCTCCAATATGCCACCAGAAAACCAGAAGTGGCACTGTGAAAGCTGAAGAGCTGAGTGACAATACCCAGGCCCAGAGTTCAAGCCCCACAACAGACACACACACACACACACAAATCTATAGAATGGGTAATGTGAAAACTACAACTGTACAGAGAAGAAACTATAACACAGAATATGTAAGTAAAACTAAATCATAGTAGCAAATTGAAGTGTCTGAGATTACTGAACCACTGGCTGAAACCACTTGTCACTGACTTCCCTTGTGTTACAGAAATGTAGAAGTAGTACTACTGGACACTAAAACTGAGGTTCACATGTATAACTACAATTCTGTCTTCTTGAGAACAGCACTAAAATTGTTTTCATGCAACTAAATTTAAAAAAAGTTAAAATGTCTGATGCATGTATTTTATGCTAAATAAATACATATTATATAACAGATAAATATTTGTTGAATGTATTGGTCATAGAGGAAATAAAAGATATTAAAAGTTTTTCTACACTTACAACAGCAATGGAAGTACAAGGTCTTGAATAATTTTGCTTTTATGAACATCACCAGTAATCTTTTAAAATAGTTGTGTCAAGCAAAATAATTATATTCTGACAATGTCTAAACTAGAAGAAGACAGAAACACTTTACATATACTTTCATTCATGGTATTAAAAGATATTACATTTAAAATGATTGATAAACACTGTATAAAACATATCTATTAAATATGTATTATATACTATGTATATTTATACACATAGTAGTATATATATTTGCAATTTTACGTGTGTATTATATATTATGCATGCCTACACACACTAATACCTGATAAATTTTACATCATACTTAAAAATGACAAATACATATACTGGGTCAATGACTGGATTAGTCATTCAGAGAGCAATTCTTAACCTGAAATTGTGTACTTTCCTCTCAAATTAATCCTTAGATTTCTGTAATTGGTATGAATGAATCTCGAGATCTAGCAAGCACTTTAAACGTACTTGTTCATAATATGAACGATTTTATTTTATTCAATTTTACTTATTTCCAGAAGTAAAACAGACCCTGTGTTTCAAATATCTCTCAAATTACCTCATTAGATAAACTGGCATCTTCCAACTTCCATGTGCTATTCTTTTTTATGATTTACAGGCAAGCTACTTTCTGTACTCAAAGTAATAAACATTCTCAATCCACAAGTTTCTAGTGGAAAAGGAAAGACCAAATGTACACAGAGATGCAAAATTCAAGGAACATAATTGTAAATAACCCATGTTACAACTTATCTAACAAATATAACACCAAAGGCATAAGTTCAGTTCCCATCATCCTCTGAAATGTTTTGAAATATGTCCTTTATAAAAATGATTAAATACCTAAAAATATTTTTCAAATGTCCCAAAGGTCTCATTAATAAGGGATAAAGGATAATAATGTTAAATTAGGTGGGATGCTGGTGATTCATGCCTGTGGTCCTAGCTCCTTTGGGGGGCTGGGAGCTGTCGGATTGATTGAAGTATAAAGACAGTTCAGAAAAATAGCTCAAAACTTTTTCTCGAATCTTTCACAAAAAATAATGTAAGACTGCAGATGTGGCTCTCCCATTGTAGAGCACCAGCCATGAGCAAACAAGCGCAAGCAAGGCTCGTGAGCTCCTGAATTCAACCCAATACTGGCAAAAAAAAAAAAAAAAGCAGTTCTTAATACATACTGAGGAAATGTCAGTCTTACATTTGTGTGCCTTTCTGGCCATTGATCTTTTGCTGTGTAAGGAATAACACTTTGACATCACTAAGACAATTAGGAGCCAGGTATAGTGACCTATGTTTGTAATGCCAACATTAGAGACACTGAGGCAGAAAGACCAAGAGTTTCAGGCCAGCTGGGCAACAAAAGACAATGAAGGTTTAATCTATCACTTCACTTGCTTCTCTGTGGAAATAGTTTCCTCAGGAAATCCATCATTATTTAAAAATCACAATCGAATTGTAGATGGAGGCTGTCACCTCCATCTATAGTTATTAAAATATAAGGACACTGAGCCCACCTTCTGATCAGCTTTACACCTACGTCAGAAAAAGATCTCTTCTTCCCCAGCCAGAATGAAGTGTAGAAAACCATTCAGTTCCTCTATACAGAATGAACTTATCAAAACAAATTAGCACAATGAAAGCAATTGCAATATAAGCCTCTAATGCTACTCTCTTCCTGTGTCTTACCGTAGGAAAATGTTGCCAGTGCTCATGCTGCCATCCCAACTGGTTTTTCATTTGTGCAAACACGTTCTAACACACGCGAGCGCGCGCGCGCACACACACACACACCACACACACACACGTGCAGATTATGATCGTGACATCTAGTGAAGTTCTGAACTCTACAGAGCCCTCTTCTGAAACTCGTTACAAAAAAAAAAACCATCTGACCAAAGGCTTTGCTTTTGCTCTCCCTCTTTCTCTCCTTTCAGAAAATATCTGCATTTATCCATCTTAGAAAAGCAGATCCGACACCCCCTCCCCCCAGCCTTTCACGCTCCAAGAGCTCTGAAAGGAAACACATCCACATCCAAACTTCGAAGTTCCCTTTTTGCAGCCAAGATAACTGTTACTATGAAATCTGGCTATGATCTGTTGATAATGGGAGACTTTCTCACCAGCGCTGTGAGGGGCTCCGTTGGTACAATCTGCCTTGCTCCTAAAGGTCTAAAGTCTCTCTTACCTCCTCCCAAAGGGCTCCTCGATCAACAGCCGTTCTTGAGCGGGGCTGCCCCCGCAGGAATGATTCTAGCTAGCCACGCACTGTCAGACGTGCCACCCCGCCGTCTGGAGGAACCCCCGCCGTGACCCATGGCAATTAACCCCTAACCCCAGGTGTCCCAGGGCCTGGCGGAGGACAGGGGGTGGAGAGGATACTAAGAGGATACTAAGCTCTGAGCATCCAAGGATGGGGTGGGGCAAGAGGGAAAGATCAGCGAAGTTCAGGGAGGGAACCGCCGGCAAATGAGTTCCACCACACCCGAGGTGGGGTGCAGATCCGCAGGAGCGCAAGCGTCAACGGGAGCTGTGGCCAGTCCACCAGTGTTGGCGCCAGGGACTCTTCCACCCCGGGGACACCCACCCCTGCCTGGGCTGCAGCCGGGGTACGGGGTGGGGCTGGGGCTGGGGGGGGAATGGGCTTCAGGTTAGCAGCTGGGGGAACTTACGGAAGAAGATGTACTCGGTGTAGCTGCTCCAGATCTTGTCGTCGCGGTACTGGTGGACGAAGGCGGCCATGCCGGAGGAGTTACACGCCACCATGTGGAAGCCGGCCTCCGACAGGCGATCGAACGCCTGCTCCAAGTAGGTGAACTTGAGGTAGAAGCGGGAGGTGTACTTCTCGGGCTGCCGGTCGGGGTCGCGACTCTCGTTGAGCGTCTCCCCGAACACTTCCTTGGCTAGCGCGATGCGCCCGCACACCATGATGCGCGCCACGCGCCGGAACTTGGCGTCCGCCTGGTTGTCGCGCACCGTGGTGTAGGAACCGCGGTAGCCCAGGGTGAGGAAGCCGGAGCGCTTGTCCGACGCGCCGCCGGCGCCGCCGCCTCCGTGCGCTCCGGGACCCGAGGGCGCAGCCGCCGCCGCCCCGCGCAGCAGCAACGCGTCGCTGCTGCCCTGCGAGACGTTGTCCTCCAGGTCGCTCTGACAGCCCTCGTCGTTGAGCGAGTTCTGCTTGGTGACCTTGGGCGACAGCAGCTTCACCAGGTCGGTGAGCTGGAAGTACTCGGCTTCGCGCAGCAGTCGTTCCTTCTCCGGGAAGTGCTCGGGCAGGGCGAGCTGCTTGTCCCGCAGGTAATCCAGCACGTACCTGAAGAGGAAGCCGTCCCGGTCGATGAAGAAGCGCGCGCGGCTGTCCCGGGGTAACTCTCCCCGTCGCCGCGCGCCGCCCCGGGGACTGGAAGGCGCGAACATGCTGGCCAGAGTGCTGTCCGGGACGCTCAGCAGCGTCGAGTGCTTGGTCACGTAGACCTGGCCGCCCACGTTCAGCTCCACCACCTCGGGGAAGGGCGAGGGCGCGCGGGGCCCCGGGCCCGCGGCGGCGGGCGCGCCCGGCGAGGCGGATGCGGACACCATGTCGCTAATCGGTAGGATGGTGCCGCCGCCGCCGCCGCCGCTGCCCGTGTCCTTCAGAGCCATGGTCCCGCCCCGCCCGGCCGGCGCGCCCGCCTCGGGGTCGCAGCCCTCGGAGCTCCGGGACCGCGCGACGCCCACCCCTCCCCGGCGACTCCCGCGCTCCTCGGCGGCCCCCCGCCGGCCCGCGGCGTGCGCCCCGGGACCACCGCGCACCCTCGGGCGGGCCGGGCGCGTTCCTCCAGGCGGGCGGCGCGGCGGCTCAGGGCTCCGGGAAGCCGCGGCGTCGGCGGCCGAGCTCCATCGGGGGAGAGCGGCTCCGCGGCGGGGCGGGCGCCGGGCGGAGCGGCCGCTCCTCTGGGGCGCCGCCGGGGAAGTGTGTGTGTGTGTGTGAGAGAGAGAGGGAGAGATGGGCTGGGGAGAGGCTGGCCGAGCTGCGCGGCTCCCGGCGGGGAGGGCGCGAGGAGGAGCCCGAGCCCAGAAGACGCGCCGCCCCGGCAGCTGGGGAGAGCGCACCGCGAGCCGCGAGCCGCGAGCGCGGACGCCGGCGCTAACTCCTCACAGCCCGCGAGGCGGCTCTGACGTCAAGCCCCGCACCGGGACCCGGGCCTCAGCTGTCATTTAAAGAAATAGGCATCCGCCGCGGGGGGCGGGACCAGACCCCCCCAGGGGCGTGGTCATCTTGACGGGGGCGTGGCCTGGGCGGAGCCTGCAGCGAAGGCTTTGGGGCAGTCAGTTTCGACCCAGCGACTGGGCACCTCCCAAAGCCAAAGGGGCGAACGGCTGTTCGTGGTCTTCCCTTCCTTCCCTCCCTCTTCGATCCCTCCTTCCCTTGTCCCCCTCCTTTTCTCTCTCTCTCTCTCCGTATTTTTCAACCTCTCCCCCCCCTCACTCTCTCATTCTCTCCCTCCCTCTCCCTCTCCCATGCGTCCTTTCTTAGCTTCCTCCACTTCTGCCCAGTGAAAGTAGTTTTGGTGTTTCTTTCTTGTTTGTTTTTACTGGCGTTTAGGAGTGCTCAGCACAGAACCGTTTTGATTCTAACAGAGGTCAGGTTCCTAATGTCATCAGAGCAGGACTGGAAGAAATTTTAAAGAAAGAAAAAAACCTATAGAGGAAGCCAGGGTTAGTGCTTTCCTGGTGGCTCTAAGATGACCTCTCAGACCACCTCATTTTGTAATTGTGTATTTCCCTGCACACTCTATGTCTAGTAAATCGAACTCCTATTTCATTTAAATATTTTTTCAGTAAGGGGCTGTGTATAACATAACACAGCTTTGTATCATCGTTACAGTGTTTGATGGGAAAATAAATGTTTATGGAGAGTGATACTCATTCTAAACTACTAATTGGTGGCTTCTTTTAATCTCTCCATTGCCCTTTCAACTTCCTGAAGCAAGTAAGTAGCTTGCATTCTATTCTAACCCCAGGCAGTAGTTGGATGGCAACATTTTTCATAAATGAAAATTATGCGAAGTTAAGCCCACCTTAATTTCCATTATGCATAGTGTAGGTAAAACTGCAAAGTCAGTGTTATTTGTGAAGTGTGAGTACAAAACTGAGAATGAACATGCACCCCACTACTGCCACTAGCAGACCACTGGGCCACATAACTTTGTGTCTAGAAACATTTAAAAAATTATTGACATAAAGTACAAAATTGAATATAGCAGACCAGGTTACAAAGTAGCTTGCTTCACAAAACATATGATATGGACGTCACCCATTAACAGTTAAAATCATATATGGATATTAATATTTAAGCCTTCCATGCCTACAAAAGATTTCTCATCTCTACATTCACAAAATATAATGGAGTTGAAATATTCAATTGTAACCCCCAATTTTCATAAATGATTGATGCATCATTTTTCAAGCATTACAAACTATATTTAATTCATTCAGAAGCCACAGAAAATGTATCAGTTTCAAAGTTTGATTATCTGAGGAGAGAGAATCTAATGGACCAAAGACCACACAATCTACTTGCCAAAGGACTGAGCCTTAAAATTAAGTTTATGATATATCCATATTCATTCAAAATTTTTATTCAATCCCATTGTCTCATAAAATGTTAGGTCAAATTACAAAAGTAAAAATGGTTTAAGCATGATTTTCATCTAAAGGCTAACATCATTCATTAAAATAATCAAAAGAAAATACATTTGAGGAACATGATTTGGGATTTCAAATAACATTTCCTGAAAAAGTAAATTAATAGAAGCTTTATAACCTTCATAGATGAATAAATAATAATGCCTCAAACCACTGCTAATGAAGCCCATTTATCATGAGGAAAATAGCCCTGATGATAAGCATTGTACATCCCATGGAATTATAATGAAGTGGACAGATAATAAATATGAATATTTATCCAGGAATATACTCTCCAGTATTACCAACTTGAGAACTATTTTCATCTTAGCAGCATAAAATATACCTATAAGAAGGTCTAAAATAAATCATCGTAGAAATCCATAATGAATTACCTGTGTGATGCATTGCTTTTTTAAAGTTGTCCCTTCAACACTGATGGAATGTTTCTCCTTAATCTCTTTTCTCACCACACTCCTCTTGATCACACACTATCTCCCATCTATACCCCCTAGGGAAACACCAAGCTTAACAAATAGCAGTTCTTCCAGAATGTCATATATTTCCATGTCATTTTTTTCTGCTGAGGATCCCTTTCCTCTTTATCAGCAACCTTATGCTTTTGAGATCTTTTATATCTTCCTTCCAGGTTTCAGTTTAAACATAATTTCCTCTGGTGCTGAGGGAAGCTGAAGATCAAACCCAGTGCATACTAGGTAAGTACTCGATCATTGAGTTACATCATTCCATTTCTTACCCAGTTTTCTTGAGTTCCTTCCTAAAAGTGTTCCTACATTTACATTCTCCCAGTCATGTACACTAATTTGCCTAAATTTAGTGTACATGAGAGACTAAACTGTCTCCCATGTTTCAGGTGTGGCACACAGGTATATGCACTCTTTTATCTTCGAGCACAACCCACCTCAATAGCCACTTTCTATTTGTCAAATGCTTAATGTGTAGAAATGTTTTCATGTTGTGAATGGATAACAATGCATCATTCATGGACTGGCCACTGAAGAAATGAGTAAAATTTGCTATTTCACAATTAAAATCAAGAGAAGTGTGAACTGAGTTGTCAGAATAAACTTGGGCTTAAAAAAGAAGAGAAAACAAAGGAGGTAGACAGAATTTGAGCAATCCATTTGGTACACTAAGCAATCAACATCAAATAACCATAATCAGCACCATTTTTCTCTAAACCACAGACACCATTAATGTTCCCTCAACCACTACAAGTTCTACAAAAACATGTCCAGTGCATTCAAAAAGAACACAGCAGACTTGTGTATCTCCAAAAAGAGAGCAAACAAACCTTAAAGGACACAGTAGTCCAGCATTTAGGGTAGACAATTGTAAATTAAAGTAACAACTGAGTAGTTCTTCACTAAGCAGGAAGTTATGAAAGAGCAGGAGTTGTGTCTTCCCTGATAGCAAAGAAAGGATGTAAAAAGAAACTATGATATTTACAGGCTAATCAAATCAATTAAAAGTCTGATTTCTTCTCTTACTAGCTTTGTGATTTCAGAACGTTACTCGATCTCTGAACTTCAGTTACCTCTTGAGCACAAGGGAAACAATCAAGACCACAAACACCTTCCTCACTTCACTGCTGCTCCCAGTAACTGAGCCAATTACGTCTGACAGAGTTGACTGTAAATATTTATTACAGTGGACTGTAAATATTTATCACAATGAACTGTAATGGACACAAAATAAACAGGAATGAGAGCAGAAGCATTTCCTAACTCAGAAACAAGCATTGTTGCTACAATTACCTTTACTCCCATTGTCTCAATTCATTTATCAAGGGTCTGGGGTGACACAGTTTTATCATTATGAACATCACACCTCACTATGTCCTTTCTGGTAGCTATTGTCTGTTTCCTCATCGCATGTAGTTTTCCTACATGGTGACATATTTTCATTGATTGACATTTTCATCTCATTGAATTTACCTTCCTCTTGTTCTTTTCTTCGTTTTAACTTTATTTTGTCTTTTGACAGTGGGCTAATTTATTGGTTTACGTGGTCTGTGTCCAAGGCCAACTGTGCCTCTCATTTTCAAAAAGCCATCTGCTGTCCATTTATCTTATTAAAGGCATTTAAAAGTTTGCAAACTAAATAAATACAAAATTACCGAGTATCTTGTGTACTTCTAAGCAAAAATCTTGAGATTATAGCTAGTTTTAGAGACAGCAAGATTTAGAACAGTACTGTCTTATATGTTTAAATATGGATACAGGTTGACCCATTGTAACAATGAAATGTACAATACACTGTTGAACACAGAACTTTACAATTTGGGGCCGGGCAAGTGGAGAGGGATGGTAGGAGAAAAACAAAGGAGGAGACAACAATGCTTGATAAGTACTCATTACCTTGCTCATGTAACTATAACCCCTCTGTACAGTATTTTCACAATAAAACTTATTTAAAAAATATGTAACAACATGTTGATTTTTAAGTTTGTAGTAGCCACATTAAGAAAGCAAACATGAAATTGGTAAATATTATTTCAGTAATATAGTTTAGATGCCTAACATACCCATATTTGTCAGTGCAGCTGACAATTGATGTAGAAATTTACATTGTAATCAATGTACAGTGTAAGAATAACATAATTTACATTTATTCATTCTACATCTTGAAAATATGATGTGTTCCACTTTTACAACAAATTTCAACTCTAACCATACTTCAGTATGCCCGAATGATATGAGTGTCTCAATCTCATGAACTAACTAGTACTGTTTAAAAAAAAAATACTGACAATTTCAGTCTAGGAGTCTTGCCGCTTCTAATCCCATCATTTGGGTGGTAAAAGTGAAAATATTGCAAATTTGAGGCCAGTCTGGCTAGAGAGTGAGTGGGTTACAGGCCAGCCTGAACTACATAGTGAGACCTTGTCTCAAATAAATAAATAATAAATAAATAGCAATTTGACGTGGTTGAATCTAATAATTGTATGTAGCAACA